GACGGGCCAGGCCGCTAAGGGACGTGCCGGGCCCGGGCCGAGGTCAGGAGCGTGAGGCAAAGCTGCTCGGTGCCGTGGAGAGCGAGCGAGGGAACCTCGGGGGCCTGTCTGCCCGTAGGTCTGGTGGGTGGAGGCTGGGGCCGGCGGGGCGGACCGCAAGCGTGTGGGCGGTACTTCATTATCTGCCTGTTCATCAGGCCCCGCGCCCTCCTCACCTCCGAAACCTGCAGCATCTCCTGCCTTGTCGCATGGAGCTGTGGAGCTTGTCTGACCCTTTCCCCAGGCGGGTTCAGAACAGTTTGATGAGATCCAAGTCTTATGGGAGCTGTGTTAGATGCTCGGTACTGATGCCAAGCATTCTAGCAGTGTAGCAATAACGAAATTCTGTACTTTGCTGTTGTTGCAACAGAATATGGAGAGCAGAGGGCAACTTAGTAAAAGTTCACTTGCTTTTTAAGCCTTGAAGATCTGCAGTGAGAATCCACAGTTATAGGAAAATCTGATATTGTGAGAACTTCACTATGTAGAGCCCTGCCATGAAACATTTGGCTGCGAGGCATGATGCAGGCAGGGTCTGAAATCTGTTTCTGAGAATCATCTCATATGATGATTAGCAGTCTCTCAGATGTGCTGTGTCTGTGATGAGATCTTGATGCTTTGGTGGTTTCTTACAGTTTGGCTAAGCACAACTCTTTGTTCTAATAAATTCAGAAGCTGTGAGAGATCCTTACTTGGCAGATACCTCTAGAGTAACCTCTAGTGCATGTCTGGCATTTGTTTTTCTGGTGCATTTCCCCTTTTCCCAGGAGGGCATTTGGCCATCTAAACAACTAATCTTGCTTGCAGTTCAATCATGTGCTTTTCTGAGGATTTCCTGGGAAAGCGAGGGCAGGAGCAGGACGTATAAAATGTTCTAAGGCAGCTTAGCTACTTACTGCACTCTGATATGGGGATTCCTCCAACAGGAGCAGGGATTTGCCTACATATATCTACTTAATACAAGCATGCTAAGTGATGCTTCTGTGAAGTTTATCTGCTGCAAATAGTGCATTGACTACACTGCACATGAAGGGGAATCGGACTCTGAAGGGCATTACTACACCTGTGTGCCATGGCAGAAGGGATGACATCATCACAATGGTTCTGTCTGTAAAACAGATCACATGCTTTCAGTTTATGGATGAATGCTTCTCACTATGACTTGGATAACACCTACTTTGTTCTGCAGATCAAGCTTACTGAAAAGTACATTAATAGTTTATTATTTCTTACCAGAATACAAACTAATTATGGCTGCACCTATATTAAATCTATAAAGCTATGTCTTCTCTTAGGTGATTTTTTAAATTTTTCTTTTTTTCAAGGCAGCTGAGAATGGCGCAACGGGTGTTGAGCTCGACCTTGAATTTACTTCAGATGGTGTTCCCATTCTAATGCATGATGAAACAGTAGAAAGGACAACTGATGGGACTGGAAGATTGTGTGACTTGACTTTTGATGAAATTAGGAAGCTTAATCCATCTGCAAAACACAGACTACGGTAAGTAGCTATTGCTATTCTGAACTACTGCTATTTGGAAACTACCATTTCAAGAGTGAAAAAAGCATACTTGATAAAATTACTGATGTATTGCTAATCACTCTATTTTGGTGATAGATCCCACCTCTGATACTAGTATATCAGCAGACTGTTCAGGAATCCCGAGGGAGCAGCTCTGTGTAGCTGGGGATGTGTGCACCTGTGTGTGTTCACATGTGTATCTTGACTGCATTCCAGTGAGGAGCTCTCTGTTTCTACAGGAGCAAATTCCAGGGGGAGAAGGTGCCAACTCTGAGAGAAGCTGTTGTGGAGTCTATGCACCATAATCTTACAATCTACTTTGATGTCAAAGGCCATGCAGATCAGGTACTGCTTACTGTGCTAAGACACCTTCCTTCACTCCTTCTTTGGGTTTCTAACCTTTTTTTGTTGGTCTCAAACTGGTGTGTGTAGTACAATCCCTTTTCTAATATGACTGACACTGGGTCTGCTATTTACATCATCCAAAGTTGGGCTGTCAGAACAAAGACAATGTTTCCTCCTCTCATTCCACTGTTCTGGGAAGGTCCAGCTTAAAGTTAGCACATGACTCGTGTGAGTGTTGTGTTTGGCTCACAGCACCACCAGGAAACCAAGCAAAGGGAATTCCCTGCTTGTGCAGAGGGGAGCTGGTGTCTCATCTTCAGCCTCCAAGGGATCCTCCTTGTCTATAATTTGTATTACTGAAGGGAGATACAGGTGACCAATAATTAACATTTTATGCAAATTCAAATGTTTTTTTTTCTTTAGCAGGGTGAAATATGGAAATACAATCATTTTTTCCCTTTGAACTAAACCTTAGGTAGTGATTGGAATTCTACCCACAACATATTTATGGGTATTTCAAACACTGAGAATACTGCTCATTGCCATAAACAGAATTGTGGAAGGACTTGGGTTGCAAAAAAACCCCGAAATGTCATTTCTGCATTAATGGTATAAACAAGATGCTGGTTTTCTTCTCCCTTTCCATTTCAATGTTGTTACACAAAACAGAAAAGTATTTTTAAATGGTATTGTTCTAAAATGACTTTGCAGTGTAAAGGAAATAGGAGTGTATGTATAAACATAACATCTGTGTGTATCTCTAACTGGCAGGCAGTTGACGCTCTAAAACAACTCTACCTGGAATTTCCACGTTTGTACAACACCAGCATAGTCTGTTCCTTCATGCCAGATGTTGTTTATAAGGTAATGTTTCATAAAAGTTTATTTGGTTGTGTTGTTTGGGTTTTTTTTTTGTGTTGGGGGTTTTTTTTTTGTGTTGGGGGTTTTTTTTTTGTGTTGGGGGTTTTTTTTTTGTGTTGGGGGTTTTTTTTTTGTGTTGGGGGTTTTTTTTTTGTTTGTTTTGTTTTGTTTTTGTTGTTGGTTTTATAGTTCTGCTTGGGAATTTCAGTAAGATATCTAACTCCCCATTCCAGATTACTTTTGGGCTGTAAAAATTGCAAAGACTTTTATAAACAAATGAAGCATAAACCATAAGTCTGTTGCATAATCTTATTAGATGGTTCTGTGCTAATTAGATGGATATATTATAAATCTACAGCCATTCCCTCCATTCTGAAAGTTACGTAGAAAAAAAGCGTGTTGCTCTTACAGCTGACAAATGGCCAAGTATGTGTGTGCAAGGTACCAGTTAAATAAACCTTATATTTTAATTTAGATGTTGAGCCTTGTTCCTAAGTCCACTTACTATGTAGTTTATTCCATTGCCAGGCTGTTCCGCAGTTTTTCTAACATAAGAGTAGCTGCTTATTCAGTATGTTTTAAAGAAAAAAAGAGTAAAATATCATTAACAGGTTTCTAAAAGAGTTACAAAAGGATCTGGGGGACAGAAGGAAAAGGATTCTGGTAAAGCTGCATATCCAAGCGAGCGCTTTGTGCCTAACCTCTCCCCATTTATACTTAATGCAGCTGGGCTTCTGTATGAATTATGGTCTTTTCTCCTCGGTCTTCCAGATGAGACAAGCTGACAGGAATGTTGTAACAGCACTAACACACAGGCCTTGGCATCTGAGCCATTTTGGAGATGGGACACCCCGTTTCAGTTCCCCCTGGAAACATTATTTGTATATGACGATGGATGTCATTATAGATTGGAGCCTACACAGTTTCTTGTGGCAATTGTGTGGGGTTTCAGCTTTCCTCATACAGAAGAATTTTGTTTCTCAGTAAGTGTTAAAGTTTGCTAATATATCAGCAGGCAATATCACTCTGTTAGGGTATAGGGGTGGGGTTAACATAGTATATTGTTAATCAATATGTTTGTTCCATTTTGTGTTGTGTAAGGTTAGATAGTTTCTTTAACAGATGCTATTATTTTAAGACTTTATCTTTTCAATCTGTATTTTTATCTTTCATAGATAGTAAGTTCAGTCTCAAAAGGGAAGAAAACTTGTTTTTGACTGTTTATAGTAACAAAACACAAAAAGATGATCCACTGTCATTCCTCATGTGGTAGTGGTATAAGACTAAAACTCTGTTGTGTTCTCGGCACTATCTGCCTTCAGCATGGTAGTGTGAGCCTTCCTCTTATGATGTCTTCGTTCCTTGCAGAGAGTATGTGAGGCACTGGTCTTCAAAAGGAATTCAAGTGGTTGCCTGGACAGTAAACACATTTGCAGAAAAAAGCTACTATGAAACTGTCCTTGAATCCAGCTACATCACTGACAGCTTGGTGGAAGACTGTGATCCTCATTACTAGACCTCTACTTTGTCTAAATAAAAGCAAGTAAGCTTTCTTACTTGGGCAGGTCTGCATCCACAAGAGAGAAGGTACCCCCTGGTGCAGCCGGGACTGCCAGCAATACTTCTGGGAAAAAGAGGAGTGGTAGTTTTACTTCGGCTGCATGGTTACATCTCAGGTGCAGAAAACCCTCTTGCCATGCTGGACAAAGCTGAGCTGCAGCCAGTTGCAGTCTGAGAAGCTGTGACAGTAATCTAACAGGGTCAGATTAGACAAGGCAGCCAGGCAGTACCCTTCATGGGCAGGTTACGTTATAATTCTCAGACTGCTCCTTTGCTTTGTTTAAGTCTTGGTTATAAAGTCATGTCAGCAATTTGCAATGGCAAAACTGAAAGCCATACCTTCATTTTGGCCATTTAAATAGTCTGTTCTATGACTGTGTAATAATTTAAGACTTATTTATGGCATCTTAAAAACATCTACGTTACTGTTCTCAAAATGGAAACTGAAAGTATTTGTGTCAAAATACAGGGTGACATATGTACCTCCTACTGCATGGAAAGATGGCTGTGCTGCATCTTGACACGGAAAAGAAAGCCAGCTTTCCATGTTCAATGTGAAGACTATGAGAATTAATGAATAAAACCTAAGTACCTTCCAGGAAAAGAACCAAAGGAAGTTAGAATAATTATGTCTTCTAATGATACAGCACATGAATGCATTTATTTTAAAAGAAAGCTACATACCAAGTGCTGGTAGTGACAACAAATAGAGCTGAAATGTCTTTTTCTGTTGCTTGTTCGCATGATTGAGGATATCTGGGAAACTGTTATCCAGATTTAACAGATTTAAGTTACAATAAACAGCTACCTGGTAGCTCAGGGGTATGGTATTCTTTATCAGTGGTGCACCCATAGATTGAAAAGTGTCAAAATTAGTGCAGGTTGCCTCCTACTTTTTCTAACACATAAACCCCCAGGTGTTCTCATCACAGCTACCATCCATGTGCCATAAACAATTTTGGCTTCACTCTGGAAGGAGCTGGTAGTTGTAGAAGACTGTCAGAGATAGGCAGAGCAGGGCTGGCTCTAATGTAAACTAGACCATCCTTTCTTAATAGCTGCTACATAGAATGACTAAGTTTAATAATCTCAGAAGAACATGATACTAATTTGAAGACAAATGAGTAATTCAAATATTTAACTGACTGGTTACTGGCTGCAGGCTACTTGGATGTCATCTCACAAGATGTGTTAGACTGCAGAGGTAGCAAGTTGTGTGTGTGTTAGGTGGTTCTTGTGCTAGCTCAGCATTCCTGGATTCTTTGTTTCTGTGTTTGGGCATTCCTTGCTGTGTTTCATTGGCTGATGGCTTGAGCATGTGCTGGGGGAAATTTATTTATATTACAATGTTATGATGGCCAGTCATACAGGGGG